TAAACCTAAGTCAGCACTTCTCTCATATTGGCTGAGTGACAGAACCCAGTACCACACAAGTTCATTTCAAAAGCAACTACCCTTGCCTGTCTTCATAAACTCGGACTCCTCTCCCTTTCTGTCCAGTTCTGCTCTACCTCCAAAGCTGAAATTCATCCCTACTCTTCGTGAGAATGCTGAGCCAGACGAGATAGGTACCAGCACATGCTCACTGGTTATGAGCATACCCTATTGACTGGTTGGGTGGGGGACAATCAATGCATTTAAACAGTGCATCTGGCCCTCAAATGAGACAGTGTGACTGTGACTGTGCCTGTGAGTAAATGCCAAGTTGCAGCAGGTTACCATAGCAACCCCAACAGGGTGCTGCAGTGGGCAGCTTTGTATAGAGGTGCAGAAAACCTTTCTTTAATATCTGGGATTTTGCTGTACATACTGGATTCTAGTAGGCCCACCATGGCATTAGGCCTGGCTCTGGGATCCTGCAAAAAAGGAAGTGGAATTTTGAATACCTGCTAGTCCAACCTTCCATTCTTCATGCAGTACACATGTCCCTCCTCATGCACAGTAAACACTGCATGCAGAGCCCTAAATAGCCTCTTTAGAAACACATAATTCCCTATACTCATTCTTATATACCATGATAAACAGATTGTACTTGCACATCAGCATGACTTTGACACAAATTTACATCCACTGAATAACCCAGCAATTGTACATTTTAATGAGCAGCATATCCACAATGTTCCCATTCCCAGTCAACCCCCAGTTTTTATTATGTTATTGGGTTTTTTAATGCTAAAATAAATAATCCCATCAAGAGTGTAGGTTGGTTTAATGGGTTGATTGAGCTGCGTTCTAGGAACTATAAAGCAGCTCTTCAAAGGACCAGGCAATTTTTGAAATTGCTTTTCCATAGGGGTTGGCATGGTGCGGGTTTACCCATCTACTTGGTAATGTGTTTAGTGATATCTCTTGTGAAGGAAAAGGGAGGGAGATATTAGAATTCCACATTGGGCTCTAATCTACAACAGCCATGGGGAAGCCATGTTCCTTTAAGAGTGAGCTCTGGTTGAGAGGGCATGAAGTAGATGGACATTCTTCTCCTCCCCCCCCCCCTTTTTTTTTTTTTTCTTTTTAGATCCAGAGACTGACTTTTGTTTACCTTTGAATTCTCTCCTGGACAAATAAGCATAATGTACAGTATCACTAAAGAACAGGTTGATACACGCAGCAGGGTGAAAGACACATTTGCACATGGTGAAGCGAGGGAAATTCAGTTGACTAAGTTACATGAACTTGTGGTGCTTTGCAAAATGCTGGGGCAGGACCACAACATCATTGCAGCTTGGCTGTGAAAAAGAGGGATATATTCAAAGTGATGTAGGAGGTCCAGAACCTGAAGGAGTTTTGTGGCCTAGAAAATTACAGTGAGGGTACCAAAAAAGAGAGATGTAAACAAAGGGAAGAAGAGCCTCCTGCCCTGATAGACCATTCTGAATTCAGGTATGCCTATGCCCCACCAAAGGTGGTTCTGAGAACAAAGAAGACAGACTCCAGGTGGACAATTTTTTTTAATCCAAGGAACTATGATGTGACATGGAGGTGCCTGAGTGTAGGGTTGTTGCAGTCAGGCATGGAGGTAGGACTTCCCAGGATGAACACCAAGAGTGTAAGAAACTTGAGTGTCTGGAAGGGAGAGTATCAGCAATCTGGTGACAGATGAAGGGCTTTCACTGAGTGAAGACCAGCCAGGGCAATCTGGCCTGAGATGCCTAGCAAGGTAATGATAGGATACTCAACTTAGAGGCCCCAGGAAATGCTGTGGGTGGATATGGGTGTCCAGGGAGTGTGAAGTGAAGAGCTGAGCATGTGGCCAGGAAGTGGGCAGAAGGGCTTCTGGGAGTTGAGCCGGCAGCAGATAAGAGAGCTGTGTGGTTGTGCTCCTGAATCAAAGCTGGGAGGTCAAGACTGGGAATGGTTTCAGAGAGACTCATGCAACCTGTTCCTTTGGGGCAGGGAGCTGAGTGGAGGCTGAGCCTTCAGGCCGGATTTGAGAAGTCAGGTGCACCTAGGTGCTAGCCTGCAAGCTCCCATGGAGATCGGTGGGGAGTGGGGCGGATCCAGGCAGGGAGGGGTGGGGGGGGGGGGGGCGGGGGGG